TGTGACATTAAATACGTGATACCGTCAGAATATATCCGGAAATGTATACATACTCGATAATTATTTATTTATACTGTACAATATTGCACATTCTTTTTCTAAATTTTATCTTCACCGTTGCCCTTCAACAAATGTATCGGGAGTGGAGATAGTTTTTTTGCCCTGTTGTTGTCACTGAATTTTCCGTGTAGTAGGGTCAGGCCAAGACCCTCTAAATCAGAAAAGAGTTAAGGGAAGTAGGGGAGTGGGAATATGAAATACGACTGACTGAATAAATGAAGTGTCATACATTCTTTTCCCCAACCTACTAAATGAAAAAGGGAATCGTGAAATACGTACTTTATAATGACAAAGTCTTGCAACGAGCGAACCGGTGCGTTCTACTTTTCACTATACCCACTGCTGAAGTTAAAATATATATGTATTTACTCAAATCGATACGTATTTAAAATTAGTTTTAATGCATATATGCCCTGCCGTGTTCGCGTGACGCCTACTACAGGCCATCTTCGACTTCCAAGTAATACTGAAACAATCTGCACATGTCGAAAGGACAACGCTAGTTTCGACGTGGAGTAGGCGCCAATGCAATATGAGCGCTGCTGTCTAGATGTCAAAATATTTATAAAATTAAATATTTATTCAGTATTAATGTTCATACATAGCATTATTATGCATGTCTGTATAGTGGGCCGGAATCGCGATATAGTTACCACCAGCAACTTGATGTATATGCTGGTTGAAAGGAACCCACATCACAGGCGCCTGGCTGTAAGGGATCTGCTCGCGATGCATATGTACTGTGCAGCTAGACTGAACGAATGCTGAATAACGCGACGCGACGTATGGGTTCGAAGCCACTGAGGTGTCCTGAAGGTAAAGCGGCACCGGCCCATAATTTTGTTCTTCGTTATTTTGCATGGTGCTACTCGATTGCGTTGAGACTACATGTTGTCCATATCCGACGTCATATATACCAGCGTGAGTTTGACTATTCATGCTGGGCGGGCCTGCAGGTACCGTGGCTACTCGGCAGCACGCTTGTACACAAGGAGGATGCTGTGTTCCATGGACTGGGCACTTCTCTCGTATCCTTTGCTGTCTCTTCTTTTTGCTGACGTAGCCCTTTTTGCGTTTAATATGCGGATGTTCTTTCCGTAAAGTCTTAGTAGGTAGTTTCAGCATCAGCCCCGGCGTGTCACTTTGCTGCAACAAATGATCGATTTTATGATGTTCTTCTGTGACGTCACCGGACGACATTTTCATTCGTTTGCATCTGAGTGCAAGATTACTCACAACAACCGACTCTCCGGAATTGTCGCACTTGTCTCCCTCAAAACTTTGTCGTTTCTCGCCCTGGCCTTGTACAGTAGGCGATGACGATGAAGAGAATCCTTGTCGTAACGGATGCTGGGAATAGTCAACTTTGGCGGCAATACCTGATTGGCTTGCATTGAACTCACTCAACCGACTCTTTGTCAATGTATTGTTGTGAGAGATAATCCCGGTATCACCTCCGACTGCGTTCGATACGCTGAAATCGCGAACTGGTTGTGGTGAGGCAGGTAAGTTGTTCCTGATGGAACTGCCAACCGGAAACTTGCGGTATATGGGGGCTGATTTGATTTGCTTGTGCGAAGCGGACGAAAGCGAGCTACCTGTGGACACCGGAGCCGCTAGCTCGCAGAATACACTTCCTTGTGTATGCTTCAATCGGTAGTGCAACTGACGCGCCTGCTTTGTTGTGTATGCACGACCGCATCGATCATACATGCATACAAAGGGACGGGATAGCTGAGAGATGCTCCGTCGCGTGCGTGTACATGTTTGTTCAGGCTTGACAGTTTGTCGTCGTTGTGACCCTGCTCCAGAACTAGTGCTTCCATTAGCATCCACCTCCATACTGTCGGCTTGATTACGACTGAAAGATTTATAGGACGCACAACTGTGTGAACCTCCCTGAGTGCTATTTTTGCTGCCAAACCCTTGTTTGGCTTCTTCTTTGTCGTTTCCAAGGGAGTGTTCCTCGCGTGTAATGGTATTTGTCTGGGATATGTCAAAACTCCGAATAGAGGCTGGAGCATGATCCGCTCTCATGACCCTCATCGGTTCACTATGATACTGCATCGTTTGTGAATGTTCTACTTACTTTGCTGGAAATGATAGGACTAAACCTTTCTTGGTTGATTTGTGTATCTACTATCTAAAATATTTGCTTGCGATAGTTGATCAAGGCGACCTCGTTAAGCCTTTATATGAATTACAAAAATATAAAGTGATATACTGAATATACAATTACTGTATCAGCGCTCTGTACTTTTTTTCTTCTTCTACAAATTGTGGACAAAACGGTATTTACAAAATTTTCCCGAAAACGGAAAATAAATATTGACTCTTGGTAAAAAAATACGACAATCAGAAGCCACGGAATTGTATTTCCCGGTTGATTGTTCTATTATTTTTTTAAAATAAACCGAAATTGAGTGAAGTCTCAAGATTAGTGCTGAGCCTTGACATCTCTTTGGCGTCTCGGAGGGAAACTTGAGTCTTATGGGACTGGTATTGAGCCATAAGCCACAGGGCACAGAGCCACAGACTCACAGAGTCACAGTAAAGTGGAAACAAGCTCTCAATATAACGCATTCCCCACGGGCACCCGGCCACGGGCTACGGCCTACGGGCCTACGGCCAAGACCCAAAGGCCACCCACAATCAGCCAGTCTTATTACTAATTAGTCACTTGACTCAAGTCTCAAGTCAGGCACTCAGGCATACAGGTCAGTTATCCAATACCCATTTCACTGGGATCCAGTCACTACTGAGTACTGATTCTCTGGAAAATGATCACTGATCAGTGGTCAAAACAAATAAAAAGTTATATCCATCTTGTGTGAAAGACCTCAAAAATTACAAAATCACAATTGTGACATTTTTTAAAACAATTAAAAAAAATACATTATTGATGAGTTTACTCATAACATAACACAAGTCAGGGATTTTGTTTTTATGTTTTTATCTAAAAAGAACAAATACATATTCCTTCGTTCGATGAGTCCAACACTCAAACTACCCAGGCCCCAGGCCCCCAGCCCGAGAGTCAATCAGTGGCCCCTGACACAAGTCTCAAGTCAACTCAACATACTCACAGCCACAGACTCATAGTGACTATGCAGTGGAGACAGGAGAGACCGAGAGAGACAGGGGTAAAGTTTTCTTTTAAAACAAATTCCCAAAATGTACTCTTCGTCGAGCTTACTCTGAGACCTTTGTAAAAAATAGATTTAAATAAGCCAATTACATTTGAGTCTGGATTTGTAACGAGCCTTTCACTTTTTTATAGTCCTGTCATCGACTCTTGTTGAGTCTTGTGTTCATGTGTGTTGTGTGCTGGGTTGTGTGGTTTTTGTTGTAAAGTTTAAAAAACAACAACATATCGTTTCCTTTTATATATATTGTTTTTACTAAAAAAAACAATACGTATGTACATACTTTTCTCGAAAATGTCGACATAGACAGTGTGGGTGGAGTCGTGGACTCGTGGACTCGTGAAGTGAGCACTGAGCAGTCGTGTACTCTCATGACTCATCAGGTGTCTGTGCGATGTTGCAACTAGCACAGTTGCAAACTTCTGGTTGTGTGCAGACTTGCAGTCGACCCAAGGGCCAAGTGTCGACGCGCAGTCGTGTACTCTTATACTCGTGTATAAGTGTGGACTCTGTACTCTGTAGAGGTGTGGACCTGTGGAAGTAGAAACTCTAGACCCTAAAAATAGTAGAGTCTCTACTTAATCTCAAACCGATTTCCGTTAATTTTTTTATAAATCGAATAAATAGACGATTACGTTCAACTTTTATTCTATATGCGGTCCTTTATATACTCATAGGTGTACCCTGCGGGTCTAAATGTTTTTGTGTGTACTATTTTTACCATACGAACCTGTCCTACAAAATTACTTAGATAGGCTCTTCTGATCACAATATAGTCGTGATAACGTTTCAAATTTGAACAAATATACGTTTACGTTCAGCGTTTATTTCATTACCCCTTAACGTTTTGAGTCTAGGTCTCTACTACTAGAGAGAGTAGAGAGAGAGAGTGAGAGACTCACTACTAGCTACTCTAGAGTATTTTTAGAGAGACTCGATAAGACAACTGAATAAAGATACAATTTTGATTGGTGGCATTAGAATTATTCTTTCAACCAAAAAGTGGCTAACAGCCTAACACGGTACATAACACACAACAAAAGTTGAAGAGAAAAAAATATTTATATTGTTTTGTTTTGTTTTAAAAAACATAAAAAACATAAAAATAAAAAGTATCTACAAAAATCGGAGCTATTTAAAAGAAAAACAAATATAAAATAATATTTAGTTCGTAGGACGTAGTTCTATACATATAAAAGAAGGTATATATTTTAAAAACAAAATAGAGTGCATAGAACACGTCAAAAATATATTCTGGACAAGAAGTGCACAACACTTGAACACAAGTCACAAGATTGGTGGAATACCACAAATGCTAAAATAAGTTGATCCCATTCGAATATACAAAATTAAGCCGGTTACATTTAGGAATTTTACTTTGTTGTTCTATGTAGCCACAATATTTGGCGTAATTTTATGATAAATTTTTTTTTTAGACACCCAAAGAGAACCGGTTGTATATCAGGAGAAACGAGATCTCTGAGCCTATTGTTGTTCCAATCAAATACTTCGTGAAGCCGCAATAGCTTGGAAATTTTCATAGAATATTTGCAGCCATGCTGTGGGTGTGAACATGGCTGTATTGTTTTTTAAAAAACAAACAAAAAACAAAAGTCGTTTTTTATATAAAAATAGAGTGTATTTATATTTATTTAAAATTGTAGACTGTCGAGTGTCGCTGTCTCTGAGACTCTGAGTGTAGACTGTTGTCTACTCTAGAGAGTGGCTATTTTTTGAAAAGACGACGATTTGTTTTAAAACAAAATTCTAAATATAAATATAGAATTGCAGAGACCGCCTTTTCACTAAATAAAGTCTAAAAGATCGTATCTATTGTTTGACAATATCTTATATTTATGTAGGGATTGTAGGATGTTTCATAGCCTTCTGAAAATTGAACACGAAGGCTATGGTTTTTTCTATTTTTTTATTACAAATTTTCAAAATAGAAAGAGAGGCGGGCATTAGGGCAGAGAATCAGTCTGCCAGACCAGAGAGGGATGGAGGAAGGCTGGAAGCCGAAGAGCAATATTTATTGTAGACTCTCGAGTCTCGGATACTCGGTTACATAAATAACCTAGGTTTTTTATTGTTTATTGTTTATTGTTTTTTTAAAACAAATACATACAAAAAAAATAAAGAGTTGCACAACTTGCACGGTGCAAAAAATAGATACTTCTTGGCTCCAGCGGCCTCAAGGCTCAAGCCTCGCTGCTTCAAGGCCTTCTCTCTCTGTGTGTAGATACCTCCAAGTCAACTCCTCAAGTCCGACCTCAACTCTTGTGTGAACTTGTGATCGTCCTGGCGTATTGATGATTCACGAAAGACTCGAAGAGAGAAGTCATCAACACAAAAAGTAGTGAAAGCCCTCAGCGGGGGCGGCGACTCGGCCACTCGCACTCACAGCCTCACATTCACAGCCCCACAGAGTCACAGGTCACACCGTCACAGACTCACAGGTCACACCGTCACAGACTCACAGGGCCATCTGGCGGACTCAAGACTCAAGTTGGTATTTTTTTAACAAAAAGGTTAGCCTTATTGGTTGAAAGTTTTATTTGTGTTTTTGTTTTAAAAACAACAAATTTTTAAAAAACAACTCATGGAGTCATATTATGGGCTCATAGCCTCCTGAAATTTGTTCCTTTCTGAAAGTAGTTTGTACAATTGTACATACTTGGCATTTTTTATTTTTTTATGTTCCGAGTTCGATACATATCTCGTATCAATTGTCATGACACGTAACTATCTGCCCTTAAAACGAAACGTAGGCCGACATCGATAAACAGACTTCGACTTGTGTATGTTGCCTTCACTAGTTATCACACACTGACTTGACACATGATTAATCGGTTAGACTTTTAATATGGTAGTCCAGCTCGTGGCTCACATTTTGTGTTCAATCGTCTGTCCTTTACTACAACTCTTTAGGTACGGCAATAAAATTAATGCCTTGGGCGCGTTCAGAATAGATCCAAACTGTTAATTTATGTATGTAACTTTGCTTGCGCGTACGAGCGGGTGCCGATGTACATGGACACCTTAAATTTCTCTCTTTCTTGCCATACTTCGATATCATGACATACGCAATTATATGCGCTACAAACTAAACAAAGGCAGCCATCGATAAACAAGCTTCGGTTTGCGCATATGAACTTTATTTTGAATATCACACACTAACTTGACACGTGACTAATTGGTCATGTCTATTAATTTAGTAGTCCAGTTCGTGTCTAATCTTGAAGCGAGATATCGTGTTCAATCATCAGGACAATTTTTAAAATAGTCTGTCTTGTACTACAACTCTACATGTATGCAAAAATTTTACGCATACGAACGGGTGCCGATGTACATGAATTCAAATTATATCATGACACACACGTAATAATATGCGCTACAAATGTAACGAAGAAAATTTTCCACACTGATTTGACACATGATGCACAACTATTGGTCTAGGTCTATATTTAGTAGTCCACTTCGTGGCTAACCTTAAAGCGATATATCGTGTTCAATCATCAATATTTATAAGGTTGTCTGTCCTGTACTACAACTCTTCAACTGACGCAATATAATTAGTGTTTTGAGCGCATATAGAATAGTTTTGATACGAGATGCTAACTTTCTTTGTACGTCTATGTATGCAAATTTGCGCAAGCATACGAGCTGTTGCCGGTTTCACGACACAAAAGACGTATGAGCGCCGCAATTCATCCCAGCTGCCGAATGGTAATAATGACGTTAACATCAACACTGAGTTATCGCTGCCCACCTATGACGAAGGGCCTGATTTGGCTATTGCCGTTTTGAGAGAGAAGAATGAAATGCTTAGAGCTCAGATGCTGCAAGTTGAAAATAACGAGAAGTGTTGAAAAATCAAATTCTCAAGCTGACTGCACAAGTTCAGACGTTGAATGCTGGAAGTATACAAATGGGTGCGTACATGCGTACATATATGTGTAGACGTGTTTGTATGTGTACATGTATGATGTATGTAACGTGTGTTAATGCATACTTGGCATGCGCTCATCCCGACGTAGATGCATGTTATAATTCAGTTATCTTGTAACAAGGCGTTTCACGACCATTACTTATATGACACCCAATATTATTCCTGCTATACACACCCCTTGATTTCTAAATAATCATTCTACATGTGCTTCCATGAAACCAACTACCGGTCTTATCCATAAAAAGTAGCTGAAATACCCTTTCATATAGATTGTACGCAACCACATTAGCTCTGGCTTGTTATTGCATGTGAATTGCACCTCCAGGAGGCGGCAATTGGTGCTATAGATTGTTTACATTGTGAGATCACTTCCATAAAAATAATGGTATATTATAAACTGCTCGATGAATTTGAGTGAGTGTTGTTCCGTTGTCATTCAATGCCTGCGTAGATTCAACCATGATTCTTGACCGGATTTGTTATCTGTACTACACTATTTATAATAACATAATAGTCTTTTGTAATCAACATATACCAGCAAATCGAATACATCAGTTAGTTGGCGTGTCAAACAACGTTTTGAGCCGGTTTCCAACTGATGAAGAATTTGCGTCACGCGTGCATTGGTTCTATGGTACTGCTGCGCTTTCTTTCGTACTTGATTCGCTAGTTCAAGGAGAACACATATTCGAGTTGTGCCACGTGATAACTTCTACTAAGGTATGCATTTCGTTTTCTACATGCTTGCCTTTCAATTAAATACGACGTGGTGTGCAGACGAAAATAAGCGCTGTGGGCATTTTCACAGCCAAAATCGCATGATAACGACGTGATAACCGAAACATGACGATGTACTGTTATGTTATTGTCAAAAATGTGATATCTTTCACGTCTGCTCTGCTCGCCTACAAAGCAGGTACTCAATCATTCTATTGAATGTGTTTTCGATTTTTAGCACTACGATTCAATTAAATAATAAATTGCAAACAATACATTCAAATGCGAGCGTATTTACCCTTCCTATGTTACATGTGAAAACAGACTCAGAGTCGTAAGCTAGTCTCGGAATTCAACCGTGAGATACGAAATTTCGCCCAGAAGTTCATACCAGGTGTGAGGGGGTCTAGGATATCCCGATTGCATGTGTTTCCTTTATGTATGCTATGAGCTTGTTCTATTCCGGTAGTAAGTATGCATCATAAAGTCATCAGGTCGTTGTATTCGGTTAGTTCTACAGTCGGAGGTGATACATTGAGTGGGTACAGCTCTACAGTCGGAAGCGATATATTGAAAATGTACACTCCCTATTTAATTAGGAACCCTGTGCGAGACACGGAAGTTGTTGGAAAACGCGATCCAGGCGGTGAGATACGACCGGTGGGATTCACACTGCTCAGTTGATGCATATCCAGATGTGCTATGGCATCCGCGCGTGACTAAAACCGTTGTGGATTTCATACTGCAGTCGATCAACTGGTTTGGGCTACGACAACGAACAAAGTGAGTTTTGTTGACATCCCACCTGGCCTTAGACCTCTGCATCACAGTTGTGCGTGCATGTGTTTTGCGCACTATATTTTGCTTATTTTCAGTCCGAAAGGAGAGTCCACTTCAGGGTCATAATTCGATTCACAGTAAGTATTCATATTTACTGTTTAATACCACCAGCGGTGAAGCATCTCTTAAGCCTTTCAACTGGAAGCTTGTAGGCACGATTGTAACCTATGACAAGCGCGAGCACAGCGTCATCGACGAAACAGCGAATTCGGGCACTGTACACAAAAATACTGAGTTGCCACGGAAAATCAGAGACTCGTACCTTGCACATCTACAGAGACGTTTGTCAGCTAATACTGAGAAAGATAACAAGCACAACGGCCTGCGCACCCCTAAGGGTGGGGTTAGCGAGGGCTTACACAACTCGGACAAATTGCCACAGAAGCACGTGAATATCAACGATCAGAAAACAAGCATGGTCACCATTATCTTCCCCCCGTTGCAATCAGCTGCGACCGGTGCGGTGTTGCAGAAGGCATTGGTAATGCCTCAGGCATGAATGCGTATCTGAGCAGACCGGGCTGTACACGTGTATTTGAGAAGATGTATGGATCTACGACGGAACGTCTGGTCTGAGGACGCTCTTATTCAATCAATTGCGTTCTCATTGTCCAAAGACACCGAATACAAGCAACTTGTATGATCTGCGCATTGTTGCCAAGCACCACTCTCGCATTTACAGGAATGGAGTTAGTCATAGAGTGGTCTGTGCGGGGAAAAGAGACTAAAGTTGCTCTTATGCCACATGCTTAGCTTAAGCGATGAATGCCGTTTTGGACAGGAAAACATCTCAGCTTGGAAAAGTGGGCGTAGGCGCAGTGGTACGAGACAAACGTTCATTCACACACACACACACACACACACACGACACGACAC